ACCTATTCTTCAACAAAATTGAGTCACTATTGCAGGAAGTGTATAAATCACCAAGGAAACCATGACAAAAAAAATTTAAAAATAAGAAAAATCCCAAGTCTTTATTTATCACTGATATATAATGTAGTGTCGCATGTTACAACTACATTGACATCTCAAAATATATGGTAAAAAAAAACAATTATATGGAAAAAGATTTGTATGAATTTTAATACGAAATTCTGACGACAGCAATGGCCAAGTGCTGTAAGAGCTAAAGTTTGTAATCGTATGCCATAACTATTCTACTTAACTCGACATACCATATATATGCAGTAGTGTGTATCATTTTTCATATTAAATCTATACAAAACACATCTGACAATATGCTAGAGGTTTGATAAGTCGAAGTGTAAACATTAGTATTGGATTCGAATATCAATTCAGAGGAAGTTTTTTAATTGATTCAACTTTTTCAAGTTTTTATTTTTTATACTTATAGTAATAAAAGTGCGATAAGAAAATTTAAAAAAAAATCGAAGAATATGAAAAATATATATGTACATATAAACTAAAAGAAGAATAGACAACTATAAAGTATCTTAAATATTAAAAAATTTTGTTTTTATGCTTCGGTAATTTTTTAAGATTTTTGCAGTTCTCAGAAAGTTCTATTCCTAATAAAAAATTATGAAAATTCCACTCTGTTTATTCATATTCAACAGATTATTTCGACTATTTCGATACGCTAAACGAATTTATGACATTTTTGTTTACTTTTTCGAAATTTAAGCAAAACAATTTCGAAAACTAAAACAACGCCTTGAAAATTCTAATAAGAAAACATTAATAAATTCAACAATTCACAGATGACGTAAATAACTAAAAATAAACAAAAGAGCAACACAGCAGACAACAGCATTGTTTAAATTTTCTAATTGTAGAAACTAAAAAAAAATCAAATTAAACAGCAAATCATAAAAAAACCTAAGGGTGCAAAGCCTTCACACGTAAACAATGTTTTCCATTTAATAAGATGAACTTAATCACTACATTTGAATGTTTATGTTTAAAACAGATTTTTACCAGATATCCAGATTAGTTATTAATTTGAAATAGATTATCATAATTTTTGAAAGAAACAATATTTAAGCATCTTTATTTGGAAAATGAGAAAAATATATTTTGAAAGCGTGGGCGGTGCTTATAGTGAGAGTTGACGTAAGCAGCGATGCTCCTCAAATAGTAATGTCATGTTTGCTGATTTTCTAGATCAAGTTTAGTCATTTTGTATAAATTATTTATGTTTGATTTTTTCAACTATGTTTTGCACATACACATACACACTTTTTTTTGAAATTTTGGCAAGGTGATATATTAAAAACAACAACACAGCTGTCCTCCACTTGTTACGCCTTGTCGTACTCATTCCCCGCATATTTTCATTACCTGTATAAATTGTATTGTTATTGCAGATTTTCCAACACCTCCACCGCCAACAACTACAAGTTTATAGGTTTGAGTTTGTGATGATCCTGTTCCCGGTCCATTGTAACGCGACATTTATAATGTAATTTATTCAAATTTAAACAAATAGTTTCTGTTCTTATAAGGACAACAAAAAATCTAGTCAGAGAAAATATTTTCACACCCAAATGTATTCGCTTAACTACTGATGCCTCTCGCTTGTTAATACATCGACTGTCAAAATTTATTCAACTTGTGGTGACTTCGTGTTTACTCAAATTTTTATTTATAATGTACTTAGCAACACTATTTTTAAGTATGGTAAAAAATATTGGTCAAAGTTTAAAAAATAATAAATATAATGGTTTTTATAAATTTTTTTATCCGACTATAGGTTACTTTTTGTTAAAATTAAAATTCAACGTTTGTTGCATATTTTTTAATATATTCTATATTTCGACTCTCCTTGAGTGTCATCATCAGGATCAGGATCTAACATAAATTAATATTGATAAAATCCATATCTAAACGTCGTGCTCTTGATTCTGTTGTCTATGGCCGTGGGCGAGTTCGAGAAATTTGATGGTAAATTGAGGGAAATAGTAAATTATGTATATGGCACCGAATGTTGCTATTTACCAGAATTTCGAGTAGGGTAAATTAGATAAATTACGTGCTATCATTGTGTAAATCTTATAAGATGTTTAATAAATAAATTAATAAATTTGAAAACTTTTAACCAAAAATTATTATTATTGCTAAAAAAATAATAATTAAATGCAATAAATAAATATTTATATAAGTACAGTGCAAATAATCCCTAGGAAATTTCAATTTATTTTAACTCAATTTACTCGAACCTGCAGACGGCGTATATTGCATAAAACTGGACGAGAAATAAATTCGAAATTTAATAATAAATATCTTGTATTTAAATTATTATTAGTGAATTACGATTTAAATATTGTATAAGTAATTTAAATTGCTTATAAGTATTTGCTTTTTAAGGAACTTTACTTTAAATAATATAAAAAATGTGTAAATAAAAAGTAATATTATTTGTTAAATTCAAACAAAAATTATAATTTGTTTGGTTATTACAGTTATTTCAGCATACTTCGTAAACAATTTTCAATATTATTTTCATAAATGTATTGTCTATATACGAATACAATAAGCAAATTTCAAACTATTCAATTGCTATTAAATATGAATATTACATTTTATTGTTTTTATAAATTAAAATTTTACTCAATTCTATTTTTAAAATTGTGTTTTTTTTATTTTTTAATTTTTTTTTAGAAACATTATATAAATAAAATATAATATTTTTCAGGTATTTGTTGTTTTCATATGTCGATATGATTTATTGTTTTTTTTTTGTTTCATATTATATGAATGAATGAATAAAAAATATATAAAGAATAACAAAAAACGCTGTAGATAGATTACGAAATATCTGTTTCATATAAAGAAACTATAATTTTTGTTTGATATTCACAAATAAAATTAATATTTTTATTCAACATATTTTTAATAAATATAAAAACAAAAAAAGCACCGATCAAAAGCCAAAAACCAAATTCTTATAAAAAATTATAATTACTTTTTATATTTAATAATTTTATAAATAATTAAATAATGTCGAAACCAGTATTTACAAAAATACTAAGTTTGATGCAATTAGAATAAAATTTCTTTAATATCAATGTAGTTTGTATCTAATAATTTAAAATTACGAATATTCATACCATACAGCACAAAGTTCTATGTTCTGTGGTAACGGTGATACTACAGTCGAATGAAACCACCTGACATCAAATGATGTATGTCTAATAGTAGTTTCACACTGTCTCATTTGTATTAATGAGTGAACGTTCACATCATAATAAGCGCATTTATGTAGCTAATAGAACTTTACTTCATAATATGTCACACTAAAAATTATATACATAATTGATATATTAAATCATTTATATACATTTTATACATCAATTGCTTATTCAATAAATAAAAACAAAGATTTAATTAAATACTTACCTCCTCATTGCGTTTATTTCCAATTCAGCTGTTGTTTTATATTTAATACTACTACAACCACTAAGAATACGGAAACACTAATAATTTCACTCTCAATACAAATTTACCCTAGCAACTCTAAAACTATCCTAAAAACACGCTTTTATTAAAATAATTCTCATATATAAAGCATTTTCATAAAAAAATTCTTTTCGCTGTCGAAAAATAATGGTATTTCGTTCTACCAGGGCGCAGCAAATGGAGTCATATGACTAAATCTAAAAGGATGCCAATTTGAATGAATTTCAAGTATTTTCTGATTTATTTGCAATGAACTTTTAGGTTTCATTGAATAAACCTAAACAATAAAGTTTTTCAAAATTAATACGTCACAAATCTGACATATTTGTGTTCGTAATGCTCTTTTAAGAAAATATTAACAACTGTCTTAAAACGAATACTATTGGATATCATTTTAAGCACAAACTTTTTATAATAACACGTTTGATTGACCAGGAATTTATTTGAGCAAAAGTTATTTGGAAAATTTATAAGAATAAAGTGAAACTTACAATGTAAGCAAACTAGAATAACTAATAATCGACTATCAATAATATAAATTTATAATTTCACTTAAAAATGTTAAATATTAATATTCTACGTAACGATTTATATTATCATAATCATCACACATAAAAAAAATAAGTTATGTTATGACTTATCAAAAACCACGATAACGTATAATGTAAAACATATATTTATTTCTTTTAACTTAAAATGTAATTATATATTATCAAGCCAGATATTCAACTCTTGCATACTCTAAAAAGCTTTTAAAACTAATTTGTATCGGCAATCTCGCAGAGTTTCGCTAATAGGCCGGTTAATTGTAGTAACGAATTTAAGCCGTCAACGACTTTCATGTGAGTGATTCCAATCTCTCTTATAAAATTCAGTTTCATATGCTCGTTTATATTCAATCGCTTACATACTCTGAATATGTTGCCAATGATATCCTCAGCAGCATAGCCCAGTCGCCAAAGTTTTGCTAATATTTTATATGCCTTGTGTATATCATTGTTAGCGCAGTGTTGCAACATATCCTGTATCAACATGGGATGTGGCTCATCACACACTTTAAATACATTTGCAGCTGTAATCGTACCAAATCCTTGCGCTGTCGATTGTAGATTATTTAAACCCTGTCGCATATCGCCTTGTGCAGTAAACACAATTGCTTCCAAGCCTTCTTCATCATAAGTCAAATTTTCTAGCTGACACACTTCAATCAATTTTGCTAATAACTGTGGATCTGATAGTTTGGAAAATCGTAACATAGCACAACGTGACTGTATAGGTTCGATTATTTTTTCGCTAGTATTACAGGCTAATGCAAAACGTGTTGTGTTGCTATAGATTTCCATCGTGCGTCTTAATGCCTGTTGTGCACCTTCTGTCATACTGTCTGCTTCATCCAAAATAACAATTTTATGCCTGCCACGAGGAAGCGTTACTTTCTGTTGTGCAAACATTTTGATCTTATTTCGAACCACATCGATACCACGTTCATTCGAGGCATTTAACTCCAACACAGCTTCCTTATAGCTGTCTCCAAGTAAGATACGCGCCAGACACTGTATTGTAGTTGTTTTACCAACACCAGGTGGGCCCTAATAAATAACCGATCAGTTGAAATTAATTTAAATATTTGAACTAACTTTATTACCGCTATAATTATGTTTGGAGCATTTCCTTGTGTAGCAAAAACTGACAAGCGCGCTACTGTTTCATCATTTCCTACGATTTCATCGAATTTTGTTGGCCGATACTTTTCTATCCACGGCAAATTTCTTTTTTTTATTTCTTCTGCAGTTAAATTTTGTGTCATATTGTTTTAAATTGAATGTATTTATTTTATTAATGTTTCTGCTATATATCAAGCCGCATTAACACTCGCAATTATTTGCAACCTTTGTTTGCAGTGGCGCCTTTTTGGAAATTAATATGACATCTGCTTTACTAAGCAGGCCGTACACTCATGTAGCACACTCATTTCGTTTGAATGTACTTGTTACAGTGTTATAGGATTAAAAGTCTCCGCAATGAATTTCGTTTAATAATTATTAATTAGTTCTATGTAGCAAAATAGAAAAACTCAGAAATTTTGTAGTTATGTATATTGATTTATGTGTAAGCACACAAAATAAAAAAGACGTCTTTTTTTTCCAACTCTTTAAACCAAACATTAAATACTTCTTTCATTCTTATAAATTTATTTTAACCAAAAAATCACTGGTAAGATCAACTAAGCAGACATTTTGCAAAATACATGGTTTTCTTCGATAGTTTGACTTTGTTTTTTTTTATTTAGAAATAGAATCCTGAAGTTCGAATTCTATGAAACTAAATATCTTTTCATTAATAAAATTTATAATATACAAAATATGGTATGGAAAACAAACAATTACATAATACACAATAAAATAAATAAAAATTGATTTCTAATTATAATTTTTAATATTATTTATAAAGTGTATTAAAAATAACAATATACTTAATTAAAATTTTAATATAAACTTTTTAATATAAGTTAAAGTATCTTAATATAAAATATTTATAAACCTAACTAATTTAATTATTTTAATAGAAAAGCTGCAACAATTGCTATTATTTGCGCTTGTCATTGTTCAACTAATCGAAATGAAAATATAATAAATTAACGCATAGATAGTGAAAGATATTTAACTGCTACTCTAATAATAGTTACTCCCTTCACTTTAGTTATGATCACCAATCATTTTATAATTTACATTAATCAATTAATCATGAACTTTTGACATTTTGTAACATTGGTTTAAAATTGGTTTAAGTCTTCTCTCAACTATATAAAGTCGTATATAATAGATTTTATATTATATTTATAATAAAAATAAATAAATATGCAAAAGTAATAAAATAGCTTAAATAATTATAATACAATTAATAAAATAAATAATCCAACATATTATTATAGTTATATTTTTCTGTTAATGGTTTCTACAAGAAATCAGAATCTTGTATATCATATGATATATCTATCAATTTATACGTGGACACAGGATATGAATGAACCCACAATTGAATGTCAAGCAAAAATAGTGTTTAATAGTGAATAAGAGTTCCGCAATATGATCTATCGTAACTGTATTATTTTTTATTTGTACAGTAACACAAGTTATTGTACAACAATTGATATTCATAAAAAAGAATATATATATATATATATAATTATATATTTTATTACTCGTATAATAATTTTACGAATAATTAAAGTTTAACGATATTTTCAATGTTTTACAAAGCTTAATTACTTGTTTTATAACACTTATATTTGTTTGCAAATTTTAGTTTTCTGAGTGGCCGAGTTAAAATCTTTTCTTACCACAAACTAATTTTTGCAAGTAATATTACCTGCGAATGTTCGTTTGTTTCCAAACGTTGTCTTTGGTGTGAATGCAACTTTTTCAGAGTTTGCAACCGGCAAATGAAATATGCTATTATTTAACATAAAATTTCCAAAATGGCAGTGATATTTGACAAACATATTGTTGCATCACGAAATTATAAATCTGCATACAATGTAGATAATAATCAGTCTAATGATTAAACATGTAGTTGCACACACAATTACAACTCCTATTTGTTCAGAAATTCAGCATAAAAGTACCTCGTATATGTTTAAGTTGTTGCTGCCTTTCGAATTAGTGTTGCTGTTTTTGAAAATTGTAAATAAAAAAGCAAACTAAAGTATTAATAAGATTTTCCAATTTGCTGCCAATTCGTTTCCCAACACGTTGAAATCTACTTCTGAATTTGTCCAACGCGTTTTCATCAATTTGTTAACTTTAAACTAAATGTATATTGAATTCACTTCGGTTAATAGTGTTTCTAAAATATACTATAAATTGGAAATAAATCGAAATTATAAATAACACAATGTTAATTACATACAAAATAATATAATAATTTTCATACAATCTTATACGTTTTTAACTGTTTAATTAATAGGAGTAATGAAATCAAATTTTGGTGGTATTACATATGTGGCAGCACCAAAAAATATAATAAAAAGAACTGTCAACAAGGCACAAAGGAGACAACAATATCCGCAGTTCCCGCCAGTAGTAGTTTGGAAAAAGACAAAGCAGCACGTGAATAAAACGTAAAAACATAAATCTTAACTTTAAGAATATTTTATAATAACTAAGTATAAGAAATAAATAAACTTATCCATTACCAATACGGAGTGTTAAATTAACTTATCCATTACCCATACGGAGTGTTAAATTCGAAATAAACCCCAACATAAAAAACCACTACATTGGTGACCAAGCCGACGCCGAATATAAAAAATGGCTACTCAAGAGCAAAAGATAACCGAAGACACTAACCCAATCAATGAAAACGCAACAATCACTGCAATAAAGCTGCCGATGCCAACATTAATAAAAAACAACATTGACCTTTGGTTTATTCAGTTGGACTACTGGTTCCAAGTCAACAACATAAAGGGCGATACTCAAAAGTTTGGCACAGTTATCGCAGCATTGGATGCATCGCTGTTAGAACAGATTTATAACACAATACAGAATCCACCAGCAACTCAGAAGTACCAAGCTATCAAGCAAGCAATAATAAAAAACTTTGCGGATAGTGAACAAAAACGCATACAAAAATTAGTTAGTGGTTTACAGCTTGGGGATAAAAAGCCATCCCATCTTTTAAACGAATTGCAACGTATTAGTGGAAGCAAACAAGACGAACAATTACTGAAAGGGTTATGGTTACAACGTCTTCCTGTAGAAGTACAGACATGTCTAGCCACAATTCAAGTGGAACTACCTAAGATGGCGGAATTGGCAGACAACATAACCGAAACAATCCGTATAAACTCAACAATGCAAGGAACTTACGTCAATGCAGCTAACGTCCCTGCAGCAGCTCATATTTAACGTGATGCACAAATCGAACAACTTCAACGAGAAGTGACCAGACTGACGAAAATGGTCTCGAAATTATCAACCGAACACCGCTCAAGAACAAATCAACGTTCACGTTCAACATCCAGAAACCGGCAATGTCATGATGATAGTGAAGAAAAGACCAGTAGAAATTGTTGGTATCATAGAACATATGGGTCAAATGCAAAAAATTGCAAGCAGCCATGCACATATGGCACAAAAAGCTAAAACCGACTTCGTCTACGGCGGCAGAGGAAGTTGTAAACGAAACATCTACAAGACTGTTCGTCTATGACAATAAGACAAAAAAATCATTCCTAATAGACACGGGTGCAGATGTTTCACTTATTGCCGCCAAACAAAAAAATTCAAATACAAACAATAAGAACGAAAGAATACTCTACGCAGCAAATGGTTCTATGATCAAAACATTTGGAGAAATAGAGATAACTCTAGCTCTTGGCTTACGAAGAAATTTCACATGGCCATTTATTATCGCAGATGTAAACACTTCAATCATCGGTGCAGATTTTTTAAATCATTTCGGATTAATAGTAGACATAAAAATGAAACGATTGATCGACACATCAACAAAGATTTTCTCAGCCGCAAGTGAACGTAAGGTAAATGCGCAAAAAAATATCAACTGTGAACACATCTTGCAAAATTGCAGATCTACTAAAAGAATACATCGACATCACTAAACCAACACCGACAAATCGCCAGGTGACAAAAGTCACTCACCACATATTAACAAAAGGTCCACCAATATGTGAGAGACCACGTAGGTTACCTCCAGACAAGCTAGCAGCAGCAAAAGAAGAATTCCAAAACTTAGTCACAGCCGGAATATGCCGTCCATCAAGCAGTAATTGGGCTAGCCCCTTACATATGGTAAAAAAACCAGACGGTAGTTGGAGACCTTGCGGAGATTACCGTCGCTTAAATGCAATCACCATCCCAGATCGTTACCCAGTTCCTCACATACATGATTTTGCACACATGTTATATAACCAAAAAGTTTTTTCAACCATCGACCTGATTAAGGCATATCACCAGATACCAGTTGAACCGGGGGATATTCCAAAAACGGCGATCATAACTCCATTTGGATTATTTGAATTTACTAACATGACATTCGGACTTTGCAATGCAGGTCAAACATTTCAACGCTTCATTCACGAAGTATTACGAGATCTCGAATTCGCCTTTGCCTATATTGACGACGTCATTATTGCATCAGCAAACGAGGAAGAGCACAGGCAACACTTGCAACAAGTATTCGAACGATTCAGAAAACATGGTTTAATAATAAACGTATCAAAATGCGTTTTTGCTCAAAACACAGTAAAATTTCTTGGTTATCTCATCAGTGAAAAGGGCATTCAACCTCTACCAGATCGAGTGAAGAGCATCAGCGAGTACCCGCTTCCAACAAAAACAAAAGAATTAAGAAGATTTCTAGCATTACTTAACTTTTATCGCAGGTTCGTACCAAACGCTGTAGATTCTCAAACTGCACTTCAACAAATGATAAAAGGAAACAAGAAGAACGACAACACACCGTTATGCTGGACTGAAGTGAACAAAACAATCTTCCAAAAATGTAAAGATGAACTAACAAACTCGACACTACTTGTTCATCCGTCAAAAACTGCTACGCTTGCATTACAAGTAGACGCCTCGGATAAAGCTCTCGGCGCAGTTCTTCATCAAGTGACAGACAGCACGTTCCAACCACTCGGTTTTTTCTCTAAACGATTAACAGATACACAAAAACGATACAGCACATACGATCGTGAGTTGTTAGCCGCATATCAGGGCATAAAACATTTTCGACATATGTTAGAAGGTCGTGAATTCGTATTAATAACTGACCACAAGCCACTCACGTTCGCATTCCAGCAAAAGTCCGACAAGGCTTCACCACGTCAAGTCCGACAGCTTGATTATATAGGTCAATTTACAACGAATATCGTTCATGTCAGCGGAAAAGACAACATCCCAGCAGATTTTCTCTCGCGGATAGATAGTATTAGCATCCCAAAAATCGACTACGATTGTATAATTGGATTACAACGATGTTGCCCACAACTACAAGATATCAAAAACAACAATTCCATCGAAATCAAACTTTTATCTTTACCAACAATATCGGATAAAATTTATTGCGAAGTTTCAACTGGGCGAATTCGTCCTTACATTCCGGAGAAATACCGGCTACATATCTTTAAAGCTACGCATGGGTTGTCTCATCCCAGCATTCGGGGCACAACAAAAATGATAGCTGAAAAATTTTTCTGGCCTTCTATAAATGCTGATATCAGAAACTGGACCCGACAATGTATCCCATGCCAACGTTCTAAAGTGCAACGTCACAACCGTTCACCTATTTGTCAATATGAACTCGCTGAACACAGATTTGAACATATAAACATAGATATCGTCGGCCCGCTACCACCATCAAACAACTGCACATATATATTAACCATCATCGACCGTTTCAGCCGATGGCCAGAAGCAATTCCGATCCCAGATCAAACAGCGGAAACCATCGCAAACGCACTGATTACTCAATGGATCGCACGTTTTGGCGTACCCTTACGTATCACAACAGACCAAGGAAGACAATTTGAATCTTCATTGTTCAACCAACTAGCTGAAGTTATCGGTTGCAAACACTTACGAACTACGAGTTACCATCCTCAAAGTAACGGAATGGTGGAACGATTTCACCGCACATTAAAAGCAGCCTTAATGTGCCACCAAACAACTTCTTGGACAGAAGTTTTACCAATAGTATTGTTAGGTCTACGCACGACTTTTAAACCAGATATTGGAGCTTCTGCTGCTGAAATGCTATATGGCCAAACTCTACGTTTACCGGGCGAAATAGTAAGCAACCCTAGCCACAGAAATATAAATCAACACGATTTCATAACCAAGCTAAGAGAACAAATGCAGAGCGTCAAGGCAACGTTGGTATCGCATCATATAGACCGAGGCTACCACATCCAACCGGATCTAAGCTCAGCCACGCATGTATTTATACGAAATGACAAGGTAAAACCACCATTGACGCAACCTTACGATGGTCCTTACCAAATACTAGAGCGAAATGACAAGACGTTTAGAATACTGATCGAAAACAAAGAACAAACAGTTAGCATAGATCGTCTTAAAGCTGCTTTCATATGTCCCGATACAGACATTGACATCCACAACAAATCAATGGTATACCACATTCCAAACAACGTTAATGGCGACCAGTCTGTGCGACCAAATACAACAGCTAACCTGACAAAATCAGGACGCAACGTTCGCTTTCCAACCAAATTTAGTGACTCCATCACTTAGGGGGGAGTACTGTGGCAGCACCAAAAAATATAAATAAAAGAACTGTCAACAAGGCACAAAGGAGACAACAATAGCCGCAGTTCCCGCCAGTAGTAGTTTGGAAAAAGACAAAGCAGCACGTGAATAAGACGTAAAAACATAAATCTTAACTTTAAGAATATTTTATAATAACTAAGTATAAGAAATAAATAAACTTATCCATTACCAATACGGAGTGTTAAATTAACTTATCCATTACCAATACGGAGTGTTAAATTCGAAATAAACCCCAA